TTTTCTTTCATCACTGAGTAACATTCCATTGTACAGTGTTACCATAGTTTGTTTCTTTATTCACCTGTTGAAAGGCTCATCTTGAGCCCGGTGTGATGCCTCATCCCTGAGTTCCCAGCACGTGGGAGACTGAGGTGAGAAGATTGCTTGAGGCCAGAAGTTAGAGACCAGCCTGGTAGATACAGTGTGAGACCTTGTCTTTTTTTTTTTAAAGACTCACCTTGTTTGAGTCTAGTTTTTGGCAGTTATGAGTAAGGCTTCTAAAAGCGTTTGTGGGAGAACTTTTGTGGGGACATCAGTTTTCAGTTCATTTAGGTCAATATGTAGGAGTGAGACTACTGAATCAGTAAGACCACGCTTATTTTCTTCAGAGCTCCGCGGACTGTCTTCCAAATGGGCTGTAGAATTTTCCATTCACATCCATAGTGAAGGAGAGTTCACTGTCATTGGCATTAGGAAGTGTCAGTGTTTTGGATTTTAGCTACTCCACCAGGTATTTGCTTATTTGCTGGTGCTTCATTGTTGTTTTTTTTTTTTTTTTTTCCTTTGGAGATGGAGTTTCATTCTTGTTGCCCAGACCAGAGTACAATGTCGCAATCTCAGCTCACTACAGCCTCTGCCTCCCAGGTTCAAGCGATTCTCCTTACTCAGCCTCCCGAGTAGCTGGGATGACAGGTGTACGCCGCCACGCATGGCCGCTGTTTGTATCATTACTAGAGACGGTTTCGCCATGTTGGCCAGGCTGGTCTCAAAACTTTTGACCTCAGGTGATCCACCCGCCTCAGCTTCCCAAAGGGCTGGATTACAGGCGTGAGCCACTGCGCCTGGCCTGTTTTCATTTGCTCTTTAATGACATGTAATGTAGAGCATCCTGTCATATGTTTGCCATAATTACATTCTTTCGGGGGAGGTATACTTGGAAAGATTGGTTTGTTATTTATTTTTTTATTTTTTTAAGACTGAGCCGGGCGCGGTGGCTCAAGCCTGTAATCCCAGCACTTTGGGAGGCCGAGGCAGGCGGATCACGAGGTCAGGAGATCGAGACCATCCTGGCTAACACGGTGAAATCCTGTCTCTACTAAAAAATACAAAAAACTAGCCGGGCGAGGTGGCGGGCGCCCGTAGTCCCAGCTACTTGAGAGGCTGAGGCAGGAGAATGGCGTAAACCCGGGAGGCAGAGCTTGCAGTGAGCTGAGATCCGGCCACTGCACTCCAGCCTGGGCGACAGAGCGAGACTCCGTCTCAAAAAAAAAAAAAAAAAGACTGAGTCTGGCTCTGTCACCCAGGCTGGAGGGCAGTGGCGTGATCTTGACTCACTGCAACCTCCTTCTCCCAGGTTCCAGCGATTCTCCTGCCTCAGCCTCCTGGGTAGATGGGATTACAGGCACGTGCCACCACACCCGGGTAATGTATTTTTAGTAGAGATGGGGTTTCTCCATGCTGGTCAGGCTGATCTCAAACTCCGACCCTCAGGCGATCCACCCACCTCAGCGTTCCAAAGTGCTGGGATTACAGGTGTGAGCCACCATGCCCGGCTAAGATGTCATTTTCTAAGAATAAATAATATCCCATTTTATGTATATGCTTACCACATTTTGTTTTTCCATTCAGCCGTCAATGGATAGGTTATTGGCTGCATTGCTCATTACTGCCACCTCAGGAAGGTCGTATAGTGGGTAAATCTGTGCTTATTACACCTGGGTATCTCTTAGGAGTTTCTTGTTTGCCCTCTTGTGTACATACAGTGCCAGGTTTTTTTTAGGAATGTCCCCTTTGCCCTGTCAGCATCTATCTAGCTACATTCTGACAGGATAACTGCAAAGTGAATGAATCCTGGACATCATAATGGAAGTTTCTTTCTACCCAGGTGATTCCCCTACTCTCTGCTTATATCTAGCATGTCTGTTTCAGGTGGTCCCTGGGGGTGTGAGATTTCCCAGGGTCTCCCCCTCGTCCTCATTGCTAGCTATCTGCTTCATCTGACAATATCATCAAAGATTAGACTTTGGGAACAGGCATTTTCAAGGATACACGGCCTCAGGACTGCTAATGTTAACTTTGTTCTGCATATGAATTCATAGGACTCTATTATGACAGGTGCTGCAGACCCACAGTCCAAAGAGACATTAGGGACAGCCAGGCAGCTCACTTTTCTCCCTGGGTTCAGTGAATACACACATTTTCCTATTCTGCTGTGGCTTTACCCTTTGTTCAGTTCTAGCATCATGATTGCTTTTTGAACTAGCCAGGTGTTGTGGCACATGCTTGTGGTCTCAACTACTCAGGAGGCTGAGGCATGAGAATCGCATGAACCCAGGAGTAAGACATTGTAGTGAGCCAAGATGGTGCCACTACACTCCAGCCTGGGTAACAGAACAAGACGCTGTCTTGAAAAAAAAAAATTGCTGGCGGGGCATGGTGGCTCACGCCTGTAATCCCAGCACTTTGGGAGGCTGAGGCAAGCAGATCACCTGAGGTCGGCAGCCTGACCAACATGGAGAAACCCTGTCTCTAGTAAAAATACAAACTTAGCTGGGTATGGTGGCACATGCCTATAATCTTAGCTACTCAGGAGGCTGAGGAATAAGAAGTGCTTGAACCCCAGCAGTGAGCCAGCATCACGCCATTGCACTGCAGCCTGGGCAACAAGAGTGAAAATCTGTCTCAAAAAAAAAAAAAAAAAAAGTTGCTTTATGGAAGAAGGTAAGTATACACAGGGAGAAAGGGATCTGATGAGCAAAGCAGGGAATAAATGTTTGGAGTCCACGGCATCCTGAGAACCTCTTGAGAATAGAGTCTAGGCCCCCAGTGCTGTCACTCTCACCCATCCTCCTCTACACATGAGATGTTTCAGGACCCAGTGGCCTTTGAGGATGTGGCTGTGAACTTCACCCAGGAGGAGTGGGCTTTGCTGGATATTTTTCAGAAGAATCTCTACAGGGAAGTGATGCTGGAAACTTTCAGGAACCTGACCTCTATAGGTAAGAATGACAATATTCCTTCCCTCAGTCCATTAGTGAACCAGTGTTTCTAGCTCATCAATGCTGTTGAGTGATTTAGAACATAAACAGGAAATACTTTGATGAATAAATGAGGTATGGCTGCAGTAAATCATGGGCATAGAATCTAATAATTTTTTCACAATTTTATAATGCCTCAGGACTATTTTTGTGTGTCTGTATTTTAGGAAAAAGTTGGAAAGACCAGAACATTGAATATGAGTACCAAAACCCCAGGAGAAACTTCAGGTAATTTGTACTTACAAGACAAAGCAGCGTCTCTCTAGACAATCTTAGAATATGACAATATATTAAAAATAAGTAAAACAAAGAACTAAGTCCAGGATCAAATTCATTTATTTTTAGAATATGTGATCAAAAAACATATATGTAAATGTGGCCTAGGCTGTGGACTCAATCCTGTAGTCCTAGTCCTTTGAGAAGTGGAGATAGGAGGATAGCTTGAGGCCAGCAGTTCAAGAACAGCCTGGGCAGCATAACAAGACCACAAGTCAACAACAGCAAAAAATGAGCTGGGCATTGTGGTCTGTAGTCCCAGCTACTCAGGAGACTGAGGCAGGAGGTTCACTTGAGCCAGTTAAGGCTGCAGTAAGCTATGATGATATCACTGTACTCCAGCATGGGCAACAGGACTAGACCCTGAAACAAAAGAAAAATGACACAGAGTATTTAGTATTTGTAAAATAGTTTACTTGGGAAGAGTATTAAGAAGTCCCATATAAACATTTTTTAAAATAATAGTTATGGCTGGGACACCTTGTAGAATATGTTGTCCAATCACCTTCAAACAATTCAGCCAGGGCCGAAAGCCTACACTTTGACGGACAGTGTTAAAAATGCAAGTACAGTACTTGTTGATGAATATAAAATTACTTATAAACAAACCCTTTGTAATGTGCTTCTCACTTTTTACAGGAGTCTCATAGAAGAGAAAGTCAATGAAATTAAAGAAAACAGTCATTGTGGAGAAACTTTTACCCAGCTTCCAGAAGACAGGCTGAACTTCCAGGAGAAGAAAGCTTCTCCTGAAGTAAAATCATGTGACAGCTTTGTGTGTGGAGAAGTTGGCATAGGTAACTCATCTTTTAATATGAACATCAGAGGTGACATTGGACACAAGGCATATGAGTATCAGGAATATGGACCGAAGCCATGTAAGTGTCAGCAACCTAAAAAAGCCTTCCGATATCGCCCCTCCTTTAGAACACAAGAAAGGGATCACACTGGAGAGAAACCCTATGTTTGTAAAGAATGTGGAAAAACCTTTGTTTTCTATTCAAGCATTCAAAGACACATGGTAATACACAAAGGAGATGGACCTTATAAATGTAAGTTTTGCGGGAAAGCCTTCCATTGTCTCAGATTATATCTTATCCATGAAAGAACTCACACTGGAGAGAAACCATATGAATGTAAACAATGTGGTAAATCCTTCAGTTATTCTGCTACCCTTCAAATACATAAAAGAACTCACACTGGAGAAAAGCCTTATGAATATCAGGAATGTGGGAAAGCATTTCATAGTCCCAGATCCTATCGTAGACATGAAAGGAGTCACACGGGAGAGAAGCCTTATCAGTGTAAGGAATGTGGGAAAGCGTTCACGTGTCCCCGTTATGTTCGTATACATGAAAGGATCCACTCTAGGAAAAAATTTTATGAATGTAAGCAGTGTGGGAAAGCATTATCCTCTCTTACAAGTTTTCAAACACACATAAGAATGCACTCTGGAGAAAGACCTTATGAATGTAAGATATGTGGGAAAGGCTTTTGTTCTGCAAATTCATTTCAAAGACATGAAAAAATTCACAGTGGAGATAAACCCTATAAATGCACGCAATGTGGTAAAGCCTTCCCTCATTCCAGTTCCCTTCGATATCATGAAAGGACTCACACTGGAGAGAAACCCTATGAGTGTAAGCAATGTGGGAAAGCCTTCAGATCTGCCTCACACCTTCGAGTGCATAGTAGAACTCACACTGGAGAGAAACCCTATGAATGTAAGGAATGTGGGAAAGCCTTCAGATATGTGAATAACCTTCAAAGTCATGAAAGGACACAAACACACATAAGAATACACTCTGGGGAAAGATGTTATAAATGTAAGATATGTGGGAAAGGCTTTTATTGTTCCAAATCGTTTCAAAGACATGAAAAAACTCACACTAGAGAGAAACTCTATGAATGCAAGCAATGTTCATTAGTTCCAGTTCCTTTCGATATCATGAAAGGACTCACACTGGAGAGAAGCCATATAAATGCAAGCAATGTGGGATAGCCTTCAGAGCTGCCTCAGTCCTTCAAATGCATGGTAGGAGTCACCCTGAAGAGAAACCCTGTGAGTGTAACCAATGAGGGAAAACCTTCAGATCTGCCCCACACCTTCGAATGCATGGTAGGACGCACAATGGAGAGAAACCCTATGAATGGAAGGAATGTGGGAAACCCTTCGGATCTGCCTGGAACCGTCAAATTCATGAAAGGACACAAGCACACATAAGAATGCACTCTGTAGAAAGACCTTATAAATGTAAGATATGTGGGAAAGGCTTGTATTCTGCCATGTCATTTCAAATACATGAAAAATCTTACACTGGAGAGAAACTCTACGAATGTAAGCAATTTGGTAAAGCCTTTTTTCTTTCACTTCCTTTCGATATCATGAAAGGACTTATACTGGAGAGAACCCCTATGAGTATAAGCAATGTGGGAAAGCCTTCACATCTACCTCACACCTTCGAAAGCATGGTAGGACTCACACTGGAGAGAAACCCTATGAATGTAAGCAATGTGGGAAAGCCTTCAGATCTGTCAAAAATCTTTGAATTCATAAAAGGACACACTGGAGAGAAACCCTATGAATGTAAGGAATGTGGAAAAGTGTTCCATAATTTCTCTTCTTTGCAAATACATGAAAGGATGCACAGAGGAGAGAAGCCCTATGAATGTAAGCATTGTGGGAAAGCATTCACATCTGCCAAGATCCTTTGAATACATGCAAGAACACACACTGGAGAGAAACCCTATGAATGTAAAGAATGCAGAAAAGCATTCAGCTTGCCTGTTTCCTTTCATAGACATGAAAAGACTCATACTTGAAGGAAACCCTATGAAGGCAAGCAATGTGGCAAAGTTTTCACTTCCAGTTCTTTTCAATATCATAAACTCACTGTAGGGAGAAACCCTATCAATGTAATCAATGTGCAAAAGCCTTTATTCCACTTCTTTTCAATATCATGAAAGGACTCACACGGGAGAGAAACCCTATGAGTGTATGCAGTGTGGGAAAGCCTTCATTTCTTCTAGTTCCCTTCGATACCATGAAAGAACACATGGGAGAGAAGCCCTGTGAATGTAAGCAATGTGGAAAGCCTTCAGATCAGCCTCACACCTTCAAATCCATGGAAGGACTCACACTCAGGAGAAACCCTATGAATGTAAACAGTATGGGAAAGCATTCAGACCTGGCAAGATTCTTTGAATACAGATAATGAATGTAAACAATTAACTGTTTATAATAACTGTATACTAACAAATGTTATTCCTTTTAAATAATTAAGAAGCTATAATACCCCATTGGTGTCATGTATTAGATCAACCTTATACTGTTAAATTGTTATTACTTGGACATTGTGAGTCAGTATAACCATGTGGATAAAATGCCAGGCATTTTTTGTTTTTTTTGGAAAATTTCACTTTTCATACTTAGGTACTTACATTTTTATCTAACCTAATCAATCTTTCCTACTTTCTTTCTTTTTCTTTTTTTTTTTTCCAGAAAGAATCTCACTCTGTCGCCCAGGCTGGAGTGCAGTGGGGAATGATCTCAGGTTGCTGCAACCTCTGCCTCCGGGTTCAAGCGTTCTCCTGCATCAGATCTCCTGAGTAGCTGGGACTACAGGGCTGCGCCACCATGCCGGCTGATTTTTTGTATATTTTTTATTAGAGAGGGGTTTCACCATATTGGTCTGGTCGGTTCTCGGAACTCAGACTCATGGTGTTGCCCACGCGCCTCGGCCCTCCCAAAATGCTGGTTACTAGACAGGCCTCGGTGCCGCAGCTGCAACCTTATTTTGTACATTCAGTCAGATATATAACCAAGTAGTTATCTTCACGGCTACCTTGAAGTGCCGTTCTCCAAACACCGCGTGCGATCCTGCTGCTCGCAAGCGAATGTAATATACCATAAGTGTAAAGATGACCAAAACGCATAAATGACTGTGAGATGTATGAGATTACAGTCAACTTAGTAAGAAGGGGAAAAATTTTGGTCATGTTTATGATTTGGAAAATACTCGTTTTCCTTTTGTTCACAATTTTAGAAATTAGTTACAAAATGCCCTGTGTTTTTGTCCTGATTCATTTATGGTCATGAGGGCATCGTCTCATACGCCCTTATTATGCGTGTCTCTCACAGTAAAAGATGCCTTTGGTGCAATGGTGGCTCACCCCCCCTGTAATCCCCACCTTTGGACTGAGTCAGGAGTCACCTTTGACAATATGATCAACCCGTCTTACCTATAAACAAAGAATTAGAAGGGCGTTTGGCTCATGCTTCTGTACCCCCTCTTCAAGCTGACACAGTGAATCGCTGAAATATAGAGCAGAGGTTTGCAGTCTGAGGGTGTCACCTTGTCTCCAGCCTCCGGCAACAACGTTGAAACTCCATCTCAAATAAACGCAAAAAACGGACTTGGCGCTTAGGGGCCCAGGTGAGATGCTCATGCTGTAATCCCAGGCAACTTTTGGTCGAGGTAAGGCAGGTTGGTCATCTAGGTCAGGAGATGAGACACTCTGGGCTAACCGGTGAAACCCCGTCTCCTTCTAGAAAACTTACAAAAATTGACCGGGCTAGTGGTGGGCAGGCGCTTATGTAGTCCCAAGCTACTGCGTACTGAGGTAATGGTTAACATGGTGTGCTTGCGTGAAGCGAAATGCCGCACTGCACTCAGCACTGGGTGCAAGGCGGAGCAAGACTCTGTCTCAAAAAAAAAAAAAAAAAAGGACTTGACCTTGGTGGTGAGGGAGGGTTCATCTGTAGACTCCTGGACCCGTTTTTGCCTTACTTATTCTCTAAAGACTAAAATATTTCCTAAAATGTATGGGCACTGTTTACCAGAAAGTACCTTAGTTAAAACATATAAATTGGTTTATGCCTTATAAAGCTACATTTTTTCAAATTGCTTTACTGAGTCATAGGAGGCTAAAAATTTGTGTAAATTGTCTAAATACAAGCCTGTCTTTCTCTGATAATGTGCTGTCGATGCTAACTTGTCAACAGCCTGCTTATGTCAGCAGTGTAAAGTTAACA